TGTCGCCTCCCACAAAGACAACATCATCCTAAAGTTCACGGACGACACCGCAGTGATCGGTCGCATTATTGGCGGGTCAAAAAATTCCGCTTTAACAATGGCACTAGTGGATGTCAGGCAAGCTCATATGAACGCAAAACTGCCTGGAGATAATGACCATTCAAGGAAATCCTTAAACTATCACGTAATAGTTTATTTTGTTGGAAAAACACCTTGTGAGCGAGAGTTTGTGAGACATGTATAAACAATGCTTATGCATAGGAATACAGAACATACAGTATGTATACATCATTTTTTGAGCTTTAGGTCATGTCTAAGATTCACTGTTCCAACAGTATAGATAAGTCAAAAAACAAGGAAAAGCATGCCATGGGCTCTTTCAGTTTCAGCATTGACCTATACTGCCTGTAGTTGTGCAAATGGCAAATAAATCTCTTGAATCTTGAAATACTGCAGAGTTTCAGCAGCATTTATTCAAATCTCCTTATCTACAGTATTGTATGTTTACATTAAAACCAAGCAACATATGAAGCAACAGATCAAATCTAATTCTTTACTAAAGTTTTTTTTTTTTTTTTGGGCAAAAAGAAAGAAACAGTCTTTTGTCATTTGTATACAGTTTAAAAGACTGATTATAATGTGTATTCACATTGAGTCTGAGATAGATAGTGTGTGAATTTCACTTATTTTCACATTTTCTTTTGATCCAGTTGGTGTTTTATTCAAATTTAGACATGGAAACAGGTGAAGCAAAATATATACATGCAAACACATTTATAGGGACTTTATGTTGACAGAGCAGTAGGACCTATATAGAGCAACACAGCCCTCTAGTGACAGAAATATGTTATCACACACAATGTAATGAACCATTTTAACGTAATTTGCCAAACTGACCAATAGGAGGCAAGCAAACATTGTTTCTCCAGGCTAACACACATACAGTATCACCATATATACATGAAGTCACATACACATAAGTGAGAGAAAAAGGATATAAAACAGAGACAGTTTGACCCTACCTCCTCCTCTGCACCCTGTCCCTGGACTTTGACCCACCAAAAAACATAAAAAAAACTACCTCTGCTGTTTTGCACAAACCCAGTACATTCCCCCTTCTTGTTATATTACATGTAAATCTGCTGCTGACTGTTTTTACCATCATATCTACTAGTATTGGTCATTTGCACTACTGTCCATGTACATCTCAATCTCACAACCATCTGACAATCTTCTTATTATTTGCACTACTGTCACTGATTGTACATGGTGTGACTCATAGCCTATGAGATTTTACCATTTAGTTTTATCCTAATCACGTTGATTTAGTTTTCCTATTCTTCTTAGTCTATTTTTACTCTACTTTTATTCTTTTTATAGTGACTTGACAGTAAAAATCTTCAATCTTTGATCTTGATCTTGACCTTAACTGTATGTTAAACTGAATTACCTGGTGTTTCACTCTAAGTTTATTTGATTCAATTGCTGTGGGTAAAAATGGATAAAGCAGTTTATCTCCTAAATGGACATTTTATGCAGAGAAGAGTTTATCTGATCTTGAGAGCTACTGTGTTTTCAGTTATTTGGAAATGGATGTGCTGAAAATTGTCATTGGCTCTCTCATATCAAACATTTTTTACAATAGAATGAAAAATGCAATTGCTAAGCTATAGAAAGACAAGCTGGATTCTTCACTGTTAAATAATTATAGGCCCATCTCTAATCAGCCTTGTATTGATAAAATGATTGAGGGAGCCATTTTGAATCAGCTGAACAACCTTTTAAATTGACAGATTTCAGTCTGGCTTCAGAAAATACCGCAGCTGTGGTTAGTGAAACACTATCACATAAAGTGAGACAGACAGAGATTAAAAACAAAGATGGAGGAGGATAAAAAATAAACAGCCTAGGAAGAAAAAAATAAGTGAATAAGAGAATGACTTAAGACAGGTTGAGACTGGCAGAAGGGGGAAACAGAGTTAGTTTCCTGGCAGTTTTTTAAAGAAAAAATAGCAAAAGTAGTTTCTTTATGCAGATTTATCAACTATGGAACCTTATAGCTGAATTGTATCTGTTATGATAAAACAAACAAATAAATAATGTTATTAAAATATCAAGGCATCTGTTTTTAATATTATAATATTCTTCATAATTAATCTTGCTGAGAGATTCACCCATCTTACTGTGATTCAGCTTCTTAGTGTCTGCTGCACTGGGCCATCTCCCTGCAGTACGTCATGGACATAACACATTATTTAGATTGAATCTGTGACCTTTTGCTGACAAGATGTTCTAACCGCAAATCCGTTCTGCTTTTCTCCTGTTGTAGTTGCCGTGTAAAGAATCTCTCTAGTGACCCTGAAACCAACCCAAACCCCAGATGATACTGATAAGAACAATAATCAGCCTTCACTTCATGTGGCACCTTCGTTTTTAATGTAGAGCAGCACTGTACAAATGTAGAAATAAATATATTTCTGCACAATTTTCATTAAAACATATTTCTGCATGTTCATTGTATTTGTCAAATAGAGCAACTTTGATTCTAAAATATCAAAAATACTTGAATACTAGTGTTAAAATAAACTTACGCTTTTAGCAAGTAATGATAGGCAGAAGGTTCAAAGAATACACACATAATGTCACAAAATACCATGAGTCTTAAGTATATTACTGGCTACAAAGAAGAAGGGTAATTCATCATCAACTCAAATTTTAGACCACTTCATATCTGTGAGATTCAAGCTTTACAGTGAAGAATATGTGACTATACAAGCCTCTGTACCATTAAATGGCAGAAAGACTGAAGTATTTACAATACAGAACAGTATCTGTGGCTGAAGCAGAAAAAGTCTTGATAGAAGGTATTTTATATAATATGCTTATTACTAAATCACTGCTGCGTGCTGATGTCATCTAGATCAGAAAGTACTGAAGAAATTGCGCTCATTTACTTGCCAATAGAGGTTTGAAACAGCATCTGCACTGTGTGTTGTGATTTAGTAAATTTAAAAGAGCATTGTATTTGACATCAAAAAATATTAAAGAATGTATACTGTCTGTTGTTAAACTCTAATATTATGTATTGTTAAATGCTACAACACTTAAGAGACAAACTTCTAACAGAAGACGAGTACAGGATAATGAGCAAAAAATAAGGATGACCTCACTATTCTTTACAAATTCTGGATTTTTTTTTTTTTTTTTTTGGTCTATTTGTTTATTTATTTATTTATAATCTAAAACATCTCACAAACACAAAATATGTCAGGTAAAGTTTTCATGAATGTGTAAAATTACACACAGGGACAATGAGTCCACCTGCTTGATATAGAGCATAACGTACTGTACTGTATCATTAGTAAAGTGCGTGATCCCCCCCCATGTACATGTTCCTTTGATTTCTGTTGTGATTATACACAATGATGTGTCATACAAGTCCATAAAAAATTCTCTTTGTGCACACAATACCATCATGTACGTTCACAATCTTAACTGTGCTAAACAAACTGATTCAAAGACACTGGGTGGAAATGGGGTTACATTTGTACAATATGACTGTGAATTTCATTGGATTACAGATATTATTAAAAATATTTACATCTGAGAATGAACCTCAGTATGAAGTCAAAAGATGCTATTCCCAAGTATCCATGAACTTAAAAGAGAAAATGTATAAAATCTTTATACATGTACAGAGACACAAAAATAAGCTATGTGAAGCTGTAGTTCCCCTCAGTACCTCTGCTCCAAGTCTGTTAATGCAACACCATCATGTTGACAACAGGGGGAGACGAAAGCTCACAAAAACAGCACAAAACAAAAACAAACGACACAGATGACATTTTACAAACTCTTCCTGTCCCATGCCTGTCTTACATCAGGCCTGATGTTCTACAGGCTGGTAAGTCTCCTTTGTCTTTTCTTAAGTTGTACATAAACATTCTGGAAAAGAACTGTGCACCAGAACATTGTCTTTACAGTTGTTCAGGTCATATTTTGAAGATATGGTATATCTGTGAGGCCTTTTACATAGATGCACCAAATTTATCATATGGTTCCCTCAAGATAATTCTGCTCAAAACATATTTTAAAGGCCGATCAAATGTTTACATACATGATCACACATTTCTCGAATCATCCAATCAACTTTGATTTCAAAAAGCACTTTTTCACTCCAGTTTGTGTAACAGATAGCAATCATTTTATGACCAAACAACTGTATTCATTCATGGCTTCGATCTGATTAACAGCATGCAAGTCAGTGTTGAATGATATTTTCTTTGCACAGCAGACGTTCAGCACACAGAGGCGTCCCTCAATCCTTGACTGCTTGCACTGACCCATCTCAGCTCACTGCCTAAATTGACTTTCTTTAAACCTTCATTAAACTGGTCTAGCATTTAAACTGCAGTCTTAACCTGGACAACAATCAAATGGAATGTTGTTCAGACACAATGACAGGGAGCAGTTCTGCTGACACTTATAACCAATTGTTTATTTTTTTAATGTCACTATTGTACCATCAGGCAGCCGTTGTCATTTCCTATTGCAAGCAATATTGCCTATTGGTGTCAACTTATAATAATCATCTCTTTCTCAGTGTGTCATCAGAACCATAGAAAGCTACACTAGGCAGGTTCAGTAAAGCAAACAAAACAGTCTGGCTGTGACACAGAAAACCAGCCAGTTTTTCATAAATAAGATGCATCAGATTCACTTATGCTTGCAGAGATAGAGTAATGTAGATCTTCTCCACCCGCGGAAAATGACGAACTTAAAGAGAGACACCCAAACAGTTTTATGTCTAGATGGAGCTGGGCTCCTAAACATTCTGATGTTTGTCCTCATCTCTTACTGTACTATAATACTATAGATACTCTAGTAGATGGTAGACATAGCATTTGTACATCAGTTTCCCATGTTAAGTGTTGTGTGTAATTTACAGGCATCATTACTTTTTTTTTTTTTTTTTTTTTTTTTTTTTTTTTTTTTTTTTTTTTTTTTTTTTACAAATATCAAACACATTTGCTGTTATGTGCAAACAGTGTGGAAAGTTACCTAGTGCAGCTTTAACAAACCAAATATCTTTGTCACATACAGTGAGAATTCAGGTTTGAACCTAAAGTTATGTTAGTCTATCCATTCAGTCTGTCCTCACTCCGTAAGCCTGTGACAGGTTTCATACTGTTGTACATTTAGGCTGATCTACATTCAAACATCTTGAAGGCTTTTCTGAAGCTGTCATCCAAAAAGGCATAGAGGAATGGGTTGAGGCAGGAGTTGGCATAGCTCAGGCTGGTTATGAAGTAGGAGATCCCAATCAGCAGCGGTGTGGTCCTCAGGTCTGTCGTCAGAGCCACAATGGTGCTGAGGTGGAACGGTGTCCAGCAGAACAAGCAGACAGCCAAGACAATGAACACCATGATGGTGACTTTCTTCTTGGCTTTGTCCAGTGCCTTGGCATTGCTGTTGAGCCGCATGTTCCTCAACTTGTAGAGCATCATAGTGTATAAGATGCAGATGGTAGAGACCGGAATGGCAAAGCCCAGGATGAGGGTGTAGATCCGGCTTGCTTTGAACCACAAACTTTCAGGGCTAGGGAAGCTGAGCACACAGCTCTTTCTGCCATCATTTGGGTTGATATAAACACTGGCAAACACAGTAAAAGGCATGACGATGAGGATAACAAGGATCCAGACACATAATGAGATGATTTTGGCTGCTCGGTAGGTGCGATACGGCATGCGCTTGGACCTCACCGTAGCCCAGACAACCAGGTAGCGGTCAATGCTCATCACTGTCAAGAAATAGATACTTGAGAAGATGTTGTAGTGGTCTATACTAAGGATAATTTTGCACAAAACCTCACCAAAAGGCCAGTAGTGCAACAAGTGTTCAGCTATGTTGATTGGCAACACCAATGTGAACAAATCATCTGCGATGGCCAAGTTCAGGATGAACATATTAGTTACAGTTTTCATCTTGGGGGCTTTGAGGATCACATAGATGACAGCTGTATTGCCTGTCAGTCCCACAGCACAGATTACAGAGTAGATGACCGGGAGAATAATGTAAAGGTCAGCGTAGAAATAAAGGTCAGAGGGAGGAGTGCAGTTCAGGACAGTGTGGTTCCCTGATGTGAGGGAATAGAAGTCCAAAGAAACGTTGCAGACTGGTGGGGCACCCCCAGGGATGGAAATATTCTCCATGTTGAAAAGAAAGAGTTTCCAAACTAAAAGTCTATGAGCATTTTGAAAAAATATTTACCAACTTTAAAAGGAATGAATTTGTTTTTTAGAGAAACATTCATCTGCTTTTTTTCTTTATGCTCTCCCAAATGTTACATTGGTTACACAGTTCAGCAAAAAAAGGTTAACTTAAACTAGGATTACAGTCCATTACATCCATGAAGAGCTCAGTCTCTGACCGCTCACAGACAACACAGTAAGATCAGCATTTAGAGAAGCAGTTCTCAATCTGAGGTCCAGGGACAACCAGCAGGTCCACTAATATTTTCATAAAAAAAAAAGAGAGAACATGTAAGAATTATACAAAATGTTCCCATGCAGTCTTACCTCACCCACTCACTGGACAGATAGTTGCAGGTAACTCATATGAATAAATAACATCCATGTTAGATGGATTTTCAGGAGAAAATCTCACCCTAGGAGAGTCCATCGGCAGTAAAATGTGGATTTAATTAGTGCCTTGATATAAAAACGCTCCAGACGCCCTGCTTCACGCTCATGAAACTGGCTTCCAGTATCATCTTTGTTTCAAGGATAATTTGCCACTTGCAGTTCTTTAAAAAAAACATTAACGCTTTATTTCCACTTAATTTTCCTTTTTAAATTCGGCCTGAAAATTACATCCTACCTGCCGATGCAGCTTTTGTCCTCACTCAAGATATCGTCCCCTTCTCCCTCTGTGTCTGTCACGCTCCGATGCGAAACACTTAAAGTGGGCAGAACGTGTCCAAGATGCGGTTTATGACTGTTAATAATGAGTTCAGGTCGTGATGTTTCCTTAGCGCTTCCTGTGCGCTCTGGGCAGATCCCGTCTTTACGCACGAGTGGCGGATCATGAAACAAAATGAACAAAAGAAAGATGTGGACAACAGTTGGGATACACACATTTTAAACATCACCTGAGACACCATACCTGAATTTAAAGATATCAAAGGCAGATTTTTACGGTCAGCAGCCTTGTATCAAGAAAGACAAAAGTCCTTGTTTCACTGTTAGACTAGTAGAACCCTATAAGACTTTAAATATCTAAATATTTTTTCTTTCTCATTAAAGAACACTTATCATGGATAGAAACCAAATTTAACTATACTATACTACTATATTAAAGCAACGTGAATTAACTATGCATCATAACTGCCTCGCATTTCCCCCCGCATTCTAGTACAATAACCAAATATGTGAAGCCAAAGTTAAAAGCAAGCCTGGGTCTAGAAACATTACTCTCTTAACTTGTAAATATAATGTCCCAGTGTAACCATATGCATATAGCTCATCTGCAATGAAAGCTAAACATTCTTACTGCAGTCGCTAACAACTGAAAACATATTTCAAGAAATAGCTTCTATTAAAGTAAGCCTCCGGTCTTACCTTTGTGAGAGACGAGCTGCTCTAAAGCCTCTCTCTCTCCCTCTCTCTCCCTACACTCTCTTGGAAGGCAGTCATGGACTGACGTCAATCTGACTGCCCATTTGTCAACTATGTGAGCCTCAGTGAGCCCATGTACTTTAAAGGTCTCATATCTTAGTAACTTTTTCACCCTGCTGTTCTCTTTGTAAACGCTAGTTTCTCTGCAGCATTTTCAGAAGTTGTCTCTCCATCAGACTGTCCTGTCTATCTCTGCTGGATTATTTTCTAGCTACTGAGATGTAGAATTCTGAAGAGGGATGGAGCTTGGTGGGTGTCAGAGCACTTCAAACTTTCAAGCTTAAACTGATCACATACAGTAACGTTGTTTCTAATATTTTTAGTAGAAATATGCCCAAAAAGATCTCAATATGAAGAGGTGCAGTCAAAGGCTTGTGTGATGCAGACTCATTCAACAGCCTGGCAACAGTGCACAGATATTCTCTTCTAAATGGTTTGACCAGGCCTTGGCCTTCTAACCAAACAGAGGAGGCCAGAGTCAGGAGTGGCAGGTTAAAGCTCAGTTGATATGTGCAGTCCATTTTGGTCTAATACTCCTCTCGAAGGGAGTCTACAAGCCAGAATGAACTGCTGGAAGACATTGCTATGGCTGGCTCACAGATTAGCAAACTCCCGATTTCTGTATTAGCTGATACAGAGAACACAAGATGTAGGTGAAGAGCACATAAAATGACATCATAGTGAAACACACAAGACACAAAACACAAGAAATAGGCACTGAGTGCTTGCATAAAGATTTTAAATGACCACAGACTCAAAACAACCTCAAAGAGACACACACATGCTATAAAGACATGCAGAATGACCACAGAAAAACACATAACCACAGTGAGAGAATACCGTAAAGACACGTAAAATTATTTCAAAAGTGGCAAAATGACCAAAAACAAATCTAAAATAACCTTAAGGACTTAGAACAATTACAACAAATACAACAAACTAATGCAAAACAATTACAAAGAGGCACAAAATGAGGGAGAAAAAAATGGCCACCATTGTGTTGTTTATAGTCATTTTAGTCCTCTTTTGGTGAGACTCTGTCAATTGTGTGGGGGTCCCTTAAATGTCTGTGCCCAGGGGCCGATTGTGTCATAATCCATCCATGAGCTGGCATCTTGGAGTTCACAGTTTTGGTTTTATACTTCAGCACTCTCAAATAGTGGTGTTTCCATCCACCGCAGGCGACAGTTTGCAATGAAAAAGTTTTGATAAGCTCAGTGCTCACTACCAACCCAGCACCAAACAGCATGAAGATCAGATTAACCTGTGGAGGATATAGCAGTTAATAACACAGATATTTCAGGAGTTTGTAGACACAGAAACAGAATTACAGGAGAATGAATACTAGACTTATATAAAGCTTCAATAAACTCATTGTACACTGCCCAGCTACAGTGCAGTGGTGGAAAAACACACATCTTTATATAAGTAAAAGCAGAAATACTCAGTTACAAGTAAAAGTCCTGTGTTCACAATGTTAATTAAAAGTACAAAAGTATTATCATCAAAATAGACTTGGAGTACCAAAAGTACTCAGTAAGCAGAATGGCATGTTTCATATAATGTATATTACAATACTGGATTATAATTATTGATGCAGTGTTGCTGGCCAAAGTGCAGCTAATTTAACAACCTTTTATAGTTACAGTTTGAATTACTGTACATACTGAATTATAATTTACATACAATAAATTCTTAATAAACTGATTATACTCTACATTATCTTATTAATCTGATTTTGAAAAGTAACTAGTCACTAAAGCTATCACATAAACATAGTAGAGTAAAACATGCAATATTTTCCTCTGAAATGTAGCAAAGTCAAAGCAGGATATAGCAAAAGATGGAAATGCTCAAGTAAACTACAAATAATTGTTTTACAAACAAACAAAATCAATGAATGCAGGTTTAAAATCATTTATGCCCTCTAAATATTAAAACTTCCCCTATTTTGTGCAATTCATATCAAATTAAAATAATTGCACTTCAATAAAGTTGGGAGATCTGGTTAAGTTAGGTCATCTGTTAAAGGTTTAATGTCCTAAACCCAGGTAACCACAAGGACATTGTCAGTGTCATTTTTTTATAAGTGAAAACTCATTTCCAAGCCACAGAGAGGAGTAGGACTCCACTAATCAAAAAAAGTATATGTATAAAATAAGTGGAGCACCCCTTTAAAGTGAAAGATGGCTTTTAAAGGTTTGTAGCTTGGTTCTTTTCAGTACTGGCTGCTTCAATTTCACTGGCAAGTTCATGCCCTGTATTTCAACATAATTAGAAGTAAGAATCACATATTCACACATTTTAATCTCAGCAACTGAGTTCATTCAGTTTTGGGAGAACTAGAATCAAGTAAGGAAAACCAGTCAGTGTGCCTAGGGTGAGACACTTCCAAAACTTCCTCTATGACATGTATTTATTCATTTTATTTTATTTAACCTTTATTTTACCAGGAAGTCTCATTGAGATCAAGATCTCTTTTTCAAGGGAGACCTTGTTAAATGTTAGAAGAGCATGTTTTAGACTTTGTTGCTCTTTATAATGTAGAAGACAGTCTGGGATGTTTTTTTTTCTGGCAGACCATCTGATGGTGCCTTCCTGGCTGCACCATCAATGGGCTTTTCTTAGTCCTATTTCTGGCACTCTTGTTTTCTTCCTCTTTCCTCCAGCAAATGAGGGATCATGGGATAAATGTTTCAATTTAAATGCTCTCCTATTGTATTCTAACTTTTCCTTTAAAGTAATTTCTCAAGTCTCACTCAGTTTCTGTTTTTGTCTTTTTGTGTAATTATATAAAGGGGATCTTGTAGTGTATGCTTCCCAGCAGCTGGATGTGTCTGCTCTGAATCACTTTAAGCGTTTCAAAACCAAAAACATCAAATAAGACTGCTCTTCCAGTTTTCTTTGAAAATGCTGTCTCCCCCCACTGAGCTACTGTATGACATTTTACTTGTGCAGTGTCTATTTGTTTCAAAATGACACGACTCTGACTTTCTCCAAAACTTGCCACTAGCATTTTCAAAGGCTTTCAACCATATCACATGTGTTTTGATTTAGTACATTCAGGACCTTTTGTTCCTGAGATGCTTATCTGTTATCTTATGTGTTATCTTCTGTTGTGTTACACTAGACATCAACCTATTTTTATATACATATTCTCCTAAAGTTCGTTTTCTCCCCACTGTCATTTTTTAAATTTTCTATAGCCTTCATTGGTTATAGTAATATTTTACTCAGTGCCTTTATGCATAAGCAAACACCTATATTTGAAATGAGTTCCAAATGAGGACTGTGTCCGTTTCTCTGGCAAGATGTGAAATGCAGTTTAGTAGGTTGTCACCCGAAGGAAGACAACAAAATAGATGAAAGGTTATATTTAAAAATTGTTCAGACAGTTTAATGTGGATGGATATTTATACTAAAAAGACTTCAAGGACACTAATTTAATAAGGATGAGTGGCAAGACTTTGTCAGCTTTGTTAAGTTAGTCTGTTTTGAATAGTAAGTAATGTACTCAGGACTCAACATTTTTAGCTAAAGATGAACAGTTTTTCTGTCTGCTGTAGATGCATCACGCCAGTTTTCTAGCAGTGGGCCTGCAGCCTATAGTAAAGTGTTGAGTTTATGTTTTGGTACATTTTACAGAAGTTACTTTTGATTATGTCATGGAAAACCAATCAGTAATTAAGGAAAAAACAGATCTTCTCTTCAGCCAGATATTACTTTATTCAAGTCCAGACAATTCTGCAGAAAAAATGTTTGACCAACACCTTTTGGCTTATAGCCACCATTATCGTTTCAGTAATGGGTTTACACAGTGCTTCAGTTGACAGGACAGCAGGACCCATGAGCGTTTTCTGTTATTCTGAATAACTCAAAATGTTCTGGGTTATTCAGATGTTACAGATGTTACTCTGATTAGCCAACAATCACGAAAGCACTCCAAGGCTTGTTGCATATATAACATTAAATAAACATGTTCTTACCTTAAAACTGCCTATAACAAACTCATGGGGCAGAAGTCCTCTTTCATGTTATTTTGTGCTTTCCATCTTGGGCAGTCCTGTGTCTTTTTAGAAATCCATGATCTCATCATCAGACTGGCTTGTACTAACCTTTTCATTAACAACTGTAGGCTTTATAAATGGTGACTACCGAGTACTGCCTTACCCTCATGATCCTGATCATTTTCTGTGCATCAACCCTTGGGCTTCCCCTTTTGACCGTGCTTTTGAGGATTTTCTTGGCTGTGTGAGTTGCTGGCATCGACCCTGGACTGGTATTATCGACTCGAGTGTGTTTTCTGGACTTTGGTATTGTATACTGCTGTTGTGATCAGTAAAGAAACAGTTATCTGCTATATCATGTCTGGCATTATAATTGAGTCCACCATTGACACTTTTGGCAGCTTTACTTGCAAAACATGAGAGTGCTTTTGAGTCCAACAAAAACTAAAATTTTCTGACAATTAGCTGGCCAGTTATGGACTCAGCCAGCGCAGGAAATTGGCAGATGGATGTGATCGTGTGAGTTTCGCACACTAGCCACCACCAGCACTCAAAGACATTTTCTATTGAGGTCTTGCAGAGAACAGCAAAGACGTGCTGGTGGCATGGGACCCCCCAACCATTCTGGAAGATCTCATCACCTTGGTTACCTGGCTAGACCGCAGGCTCCACAAGCAGTGATGAGAGCACAGCTGCTTGTCTCTCCCACTACACAAGCATAACACCAGGAGCTTTGGTTCTATACCTTGACTTCAACCCACTCAGTCAGCCACCAGACTACATCTGGCATGGTCGAGGGCATGCAGATCAGTCGTTCACACCTCTCTCCAAACTGGGAACTAAAAACTAACATTAGCGGAATGGTGGCAATGGCTGGAGGCCTACTTGAATAGGGGTGGGTGATATGACCAAAAATTATATTGCAGTATTTTTAGTCTATATGGCAATACACAATATATATCTCAGCATGATTCTAATAGTCCCTGCAATAGACTCTATGTCTCCATTAAAAGCCATTTTATA